GATGATGAGTAACCACTCACCCATGGACTTCAGCAATGCCAGGGGCAGAACCAAGCCGCTGCTTACTAACTACTAAACTACGGTAAAGGAATAACATCGTGTAATAAAAATCAAACCCGGAAAATTATAATTTGCATAATTACTGGTGGTAGTACCTCTTGTGGTAGGACCTCACGGATAGGCACTACCACCCTGCCTATTTCAGCCGTGAAGGAGTATTGCGTTTCGGTTTGAAGAACTCATATCATATCTCAAGGTGGGTGGCGGCATTTACGTTGTAGATGTCTATGGGCTCCGGTAACCACTTAACACCAGGTGGGCTGTGAGCTCGTGAACCTATCTAAGCAATAAAAAAAAACTCATTTTAATATAAAACTTGTACTACTTTCAATACATTCAATAAAACATAATAAAAATCCATTTACGTAACCGTCATGTCTTAACCAGTCAAATTAGAAAAAAAACGTGTTCTACTAGCTCGATTAATTTTTAAGACAATATGTTTATTATCTTAACCTGTTTCTGTCTATTTAAAAGAATATCTAAACGTAATTTTGACCAACTTCAAGTCGATAAACTGCGTGATCTGCAAAGAAAAACTTTGAAAATCAAAACGTTGAACTCAGCTGATTAATTTTTAAGTACGTAAACCTAATTATAAAAGCTATCAAAGCCTACATAATAGATGGTGATCAATATTCTCGGCAGCTCGTTTTAATAGTTAAACATGGGCAAAAGGTTAGATAACTGTTAACGAATACGGAAATCTTGTCACAGGTATGATGTAATGTCACAGGATGATAGTAAACTGTTACCATTTACCAGGAAATCTAATAGTAATCGTCTCTAAACACCAATTTACGACATCGCAAGAGCGACTTGGCGTCCACAGTAAACGCGCATTTCGTTTGGGTACGAAAATAGCGCGATAGAAGTTGTTTTGTTGTAAACTTAAACAAATACGCAACTCTGTACTTACGACAGAGACCGGAAACTCACTATCTCCCTTTTATTTGCATACGTTGGAAGAGGATGAAGGAGTCAAGTTTCCGACATTTATTTGAGGCTAAACGACGTATGCGTGAAATGATACTAACATGGACAATTAATATGAGTTCAAGTTTCGAGCTGTTGTGAATTTGTCAAATTTAGATACATATATTACTTAATAATATTATATTATTACTTAATATTATTAATATTATAATTAATTATTAATATTATATTAATGTTATAATATATTGATAAAATTCAAAACTGGCCCTTGTAAGTCGGCTGTCTTCGATAATGATATTTTTATCTGATAGCCAGTTATTTTATTACGTTCTCGTATTATTTGAAATTCATGTTTATAAAACGTCCCAAATTAAACATAAAAAGTTGTATTAATTGAAGATACGTTAATTGACTTATTTATTGCTCTTTAAAACGAATGATTGATTGATTCCCTTGGATCTTTTGACAAATTCTCAAAGAAAGGTTCAAAGAGAATAAAATCAAACAGCCCCAAATAAATTTGAGCTGAAATATGACAAGGGCGATTCGTTTTTCATTTTCCACATAATGATGGTTCCTTCGAACACAATGGTCGTTTTGTGGCCCTCACAATGTAATTGTGCTCTTTCATCAGCGGGACGTTTGGCGCGTCAGCTTGTTGGTCCAAAAATCGAATTGTCTTTCATTGTAATTTACTGTTTCAGCAATCAGGCACTTCATGCGGTGAAGAGCGTTAACGTTTACCTCGTAAAGGTCAGTGTCGTCGAAAAAAAAAAAGGAGTAAACAACTATGCGAAAATATCCGTACGGTATATTGGCTTTCCGCCACTACAGTTGAACTTTGTACTGATTCAGGAAAAGTAACGTCTTCGGTCACTTTCGGCTATTTGTTTCTTCTCTATTTCTGTATCTTGGCACAAATCGAATTTGCAGGCGTACACGTCATTACTTATGTTGTGCTGAAATTCGACGACGAACATTGAGCAATCTGATAAGTTACAATAACCTATAAACAGAAATATGTTTTCAAAATTATTCACAAAAATAGAATACATCATTTATTGTACAAAGTCCTACATTGTCACAAATTGAAGAGTAGTAGTAGTCTGATACAACCGATAATTTAGTTAATTACTACACCTAAACAATATACTAGTCTTGCCATAGATACTGAGACAAAGGAAAAAAAAAATCTATTGCAAATAACATTTATTACTTTTACAGTGTGTTAGTTTAATACAGAAATATAAAACAATTTAAAGTATAAAAAGCTTATTCGAAGTGGTTTCCATTGGCTGCAATACAGTCCTTTAAACGTTGAGGCCAGTTATCAATAGAAGCACGCACTCTTTCCATGGGAAAATGTTTCACTGCCATCGTACGGATTGTTTTAGGGACTCCAAATTATCATGGCGTTTAGAGCAAGCCGTACTCTCTAAAACTGACCATAATTCATAATCCAGCGGATTAAGATCGGGACTAGACGACGGCCAGTCTTCAGCTCTGATGAAGTCCAAAGCATTCGTTTCCAACCAAGACTGCGTAGACCGAGCTTCATGACCTGGCGCCGAGTCTTGCTGGAAGGACCATTCTTGATTATTGAACATGGTATTGTTAAGGGGCTTCACTACCTTCTCAAGAATGGTATCTTGATAAACTTGTGCCAATGTTTTGATACCTTTTTCACAAAAGTATGGCTCAGTCACTCCTTCATAGCTAATACCCCACAAACCGTCACTGAAGTCGGATAGTGCCCACGTTGCACTATGTCGACTAATTGGGAAGCTTCCTTAGAGCTTTGAGCATAAATACGGTCATTTTGTTTGTTAAAATGTTGCTCAATTGTAAAAAATGTCTCATCCCTAAACAAAATTTGTCTATGACCTCGCTTTGCGTACCGCTTCAGTAGTTGTTTCGATTTTACCACCCTATTCTTTTTTAAATTATCAGTTAAGAAATGACCAATACGTCTCTTATAGGCTACAAGTCCTAAGTCATCTTTTAAAATACGCGACATGGTTCTAGGTGCTATCTTCATCTCCCGAGATAAAATCTTTTGCTTTCGGACAGGATTTCTTCGAATTCTTTCCCTTACTGCTTTGACCACCTTTTTCGTACGAACACTACGTGGACGGCCTTTTTTTTCTGTCACTAACAGAGGAGGTCTCATTGCACCTTTTTATAGCCCGGTACACAAACATTTTACTTAATAAAACCAAGCGTATCGAGAGTTTTAAAAATTGCATTTGGCTCCATACCTACTTTGTGTAATGCAATCAAAGCGATTCGGTTCTCTTTATCGCCCCACTACATTTTAATATCGCAAAATATTGTACAATGTGTTGGCGCCAAAATGAGAAAACTCAATGAGCAATCATATAAAAATTACAGATTCCAAATTCAAATGTAATATTTTGTTTATTTTTAATTGTAACAGCATTTATGGCCAGACTAAGTAGTATGTGATGTTTTCTTATTTGGTAATAAAAATGAAATAAAGAGTGAATATAATTTGCTGAAAAAATTCTTATCATTTTTACTATGAAAAGAAACTGTTTCTAACCAAATTGTACTCCGCGAATCGGATTCAGACTGAAAAGCGTAAAACTACAATTTGATTTACTTGTGGTAAGGCGTACAAGTAAGCGCAACGTCCAGCCGTATTTTTGCCGCGAAAGTCATGAGTTCCTATTTGAATGGTAGGACAACCGATATACATTATAATTGAGACTCCAATTCACTCAAATTTCAAAGTGCCTTGAGATTCGAGGTTACAATTTGGGAGGTATTCATGTGGTGAAATATACGGTAACCATCTAAAAAGCAGCAAACAATTTGCCTCAAAAATAAGAATGTATTGTATAGTTGACCCTTGCAGGCAAAATCAAAAATAAAATTATCTAGAAAGTGGTTAACAGTACCAGTAGTATTAATAGTCGTAGTACCTAGTAGCTAAGCGTTGTGTATTAATGGATAGGTTTTCTCATTTATTTTGGCCCCATATGACGTAGCAAATATGAAATTACGCTTGGTAGTATTTTGTGAAAATTGCGCCGTAATACAAAAAAATAAGAACTGCCTGGATATCTATTTTATATATTTTTTTTATTGGAGCCTTGAAATATATTGGGCTTGCAATATATTTGAAAACAAGCCCATCAATTACATTTTCCTTTCAAGATCCTTGTTCTTATCATCATCTTCGCCGACGTAAGTTCATCCACATAAATTTTCCATTAGATGTTACATGTAAATGACCTATTCAATCATTACCATCCAAATGTTAATCATTACAGGAGTTGACATTATTTAAAAATAATCATGCGTCATCAATAAATCTCAAACATTTTTGTAGTATTTTATCAAAATGCAGACCATTTGNCTTTCAAGATCCTTGTTCTTATCATCATCTTCGCCGACGTAAGTTCATCCACATAAATTTTCCATTAGATGTTACATGTAAATGACCTATTCAATCATTACCATCCAAATGTTAATCATTACAGGAGTTGACATTATTTAAAAATAATCATGCGTCATCAATAAATCTCAAACATTTTTGTAGTATTTTATCAAAATGCAGACCATTTGGATCTGGCGATTCCGTAATTAAATAACTATTTTATCATATACGACAATGTAAACGAGAATCATACATTGTAAACATTTCAACGAATTTTACGAGAAACAGTATAAACACGTGCGTTCGTTGAATGACGGTACTGGAACTACGTAACACGTAACAAACAAGTTCTCGGTGGGTGTAGGAATAAATAAAATCTTAATAGGAACACGCTCAGGTGTTCGCAGCTGTTAAAAAGCATAGAATGGAATCTATCGATTATTCTTATTATTATATTTGTTTACATACTTTACAATAATACAGCATGTATTTTAAACTTACTAAATTGTGACGATGTTTTTTAAAATTTTTGTTTTTTTTTTAATCTGCTTTTATAAACACTATAAAAATATATCAAAACAAAATATGTATGAGTACTTACTTTCAGATACTACGTTGGTATTGTTAGACGCTGCAGCTCCAAACGTTTTAACGTTTATAACACATAAAAAACATATAAACCACCACATTTTGCCACAAATATTTTGGGCTGCCCGTTGACAGCCCACGAAAAGGGACATTCGTCCGCTGGAAACTTTCGATTTTAACAATACCACTTTTGTTAGACACTGTTCTGCAAAATTTTGCTTGAACCGAGGTTATGTCACGTTCACAACTCAGTTTTGTGTCTGTACAGTCAATGTCACTGTTATTAATGCATCGAAGGACAGTATTTTATGATTTGGTGTACGCAAAGAGCGCTTTGAGGTTAATTGTACGTGCCAGTGGTGCGAGCGCGACGGAGAAATGTCGTGCGAGTCAGACAGAGGCAGGCAGGTGATACACGATTACAGAGCATGCCGCTAGATGGCAGTGACGCATGCGTGACGTACAGTACAGTATGGTTACCGCGACCGAATCGTGGCGCTGCGCTGCTCATTCTCGCTACAGATTTTTCCAACGCACCACGCGAACTTTATTTCCTAAAGGTATCCTCACAATGGTCCATAAAAATGTCTAAAATAAATATGATCCTAATTGAAATCATTTAAATTTTTTTTCTTCATAAATTAACTATTCCCTGTCTTCTGCGACGGAGGAGCCATCCGTCAATTATATCTGCTTTTTACTGAATTTCGCATTTAGTACAGACAGTATTTAAAATTTACTAAATAAAAAAATATGGTTTTCTCATCATGTGAGCGTAATCGATTCTTTTCATTTTGGCTTCGAGAACGGTCACTTCATACTCTGTATAATCGTTCTAAGATTAAAATACTTCTCAAATTGTTGACAATGATAATGAACACGACATGTACATTTATGCTATCCCGTCATTCTGGAAAGTGGCTCGCTCAAACGCAGCTCATTGAAAAGATCAATCACTGTGATCTCACCTTTACAAGAGAATTTCTACTGCGCGCGCATCTTAAATAACCGGCCCGTTGAAGGCGCCGTGGGAGGCGTGGCGTTTACTCGTTACGCACCCCACTACGCAACTGTAAGATAAGATACGAAACTAACCGACCGGTTTTAGGATAAACCCAAAATGAGACCAAATACTAAAAGGCTACCGAACTTCTTAACGTTGTCAGGTATCCCATTATTGAAAATTCCACAGTGCGAGCATCTTGATTCTTAATTTTCTGAACCTCATCTTTGAGCCGGAATGAATTTGATTCGATTCTTTTAGTTATTCATTGGAACAATAAAATTTACGTTACATTTCATTGTATTACCATTAACAATTTTAGTTATTGATGTAGTAGAGTTGAGCTACTGTTATAATAAATCGACTACATATTTTATTATATCACTAAAATGCGGAGAGCAACGAAAAGTAAATAATTCATGCAACAACAAAACAAACCAAAATTAATATTAATACTCATCTTTACGTGTCAACAATCCTATAGTACGTTTATAAATATTTTTAACGAGACGAAAGTTTGTATTTGCTTAGACGTAAGTACCTCAAAAGTTTTATGAACTGCGTGATTGTTATAAAAAAACATTAGGTAAATTTAAAATAAGTATTTGGTTTGTAACCAAAGGAATTTTAAATTACTATTAGGTACTTAGCAATAAAAAAACTTGTATTAATGAGTTGCGCAATGTATGAAACTCCCAGAAACTCACTTCAATTTAGTGGCAACTTTTAAACACAGGTACTAATAGTCGATTGAGTAGTTTTGGTGGGACGTTAAACAATTACAGAGACAAAAGGAAAGACGGAGCAATATAAAAAATGCGACTTTGGAGTTGACTATAAATCTACATTTTATTCATATTCACTTATTCATATGTTGCAAATACGACTTATTGAGCTCACAGTTTAACTAGTGTTAAGCGGTACCAAAGCCTATAGACATTACAACGATATCAGGTTCGAATCTCACTTGTATAACATAACGGCTGTCCCATTCTTCAAGCCTGAATTCATTACTGCTTCGCTGCAGAAATAGGCAAGATAGTAGGATACTAGCCCTACCTAAGTACTCCCTTGCGTCGTCATAAACCAGCCGACCTACCACAAGTATTTATTTATTTATTTTTAAGCTATTGCATAGATTTGATCGCGGGCCTTGAACGCGGCTTGAGAGCGGAATCATGAAATTCCGTAACGAAAAAAACCTTCCACCCTTCACTACGCCTACTATGTAGCTCGCGTTCAACACATTCACACGTTGCGCTTGTGTAGTCTTTAAAGTAAGAAGTCTAAACACCGATTTATGTACTATCAAAATATGTGATGTAAATTCGGCGGTAACACAATGATAGCGCGATTCAGCTTTTCGTCAAGCGCCATCTAACGGCGACAAACAGAATTCTAAAATAGAAAATTATATCACATTACAATGCGTTGGGCGTGCTATTTTCTATCGCTTAGTCGAAGAATTTTATTACTACTCCTACTACTCATTCAGTGATTGCAGTGGCATTAAAAATAAACTAGCTAAACCGTTGTTTCTGGGCGAATGAGAGCTAGAACTAGGATCCAAAGGCGTGTCTCTATCCCATGTAGCGCCCTCTTGTGAGTGCGCGGTGAAAATGGAATACTCACAATGTAGCAGATTCATTGAAAGTTAACCCACTGAGTTTCTCGCCGGATCTTATTTTATTGTTGTTTTAATATTAAATTATTATTGTCGATTTATAGTTGCATAAGTTGATAAAAAATGCTATGCAATAGCTTTACCGCGGCAGTCTCCGAGTGCGTTGTATTAACTATAATAGAAGACAAAAACGACATGTCTTCTTGCATTAAAACTGTATAATCTCAAAATTTAGTAATATTACAGGAGTGTTTTAAAGGATTGACATGTAGAAAATATTTTTAATATTAATCATATTTGCAACATTTATTTTTTATTATTTACCAGTTACAGTATTTGTCTTTTAAAGTAAGATAAAATTATGTTTTAATTTTGTTAATAGTAGTCAAAGCATAGGTAAACTAAAAAGAAAAGAAAAAACTAAACTACGCTCTTTTGACAGTATTTATGAGAAAAATACTGATGATACCAAATGTTTTCATATTAACTATTTCATAGCTATTCATATTTCATAGTAGCATATTAACTATATTTCGAATATTTTTGGAAATTGTACACTTTTAATGCGAAAAGGCGATGTAAGTATATTTTTACAATGTTTGGACTTGCGTCAAATGAAAATGAATTAATTTTTCGCGATAGATTATTTCAGCATTTTTATATTGTTCCAGCGGTATTCCCCATTGAACGATCTCGTGGCCCGATTCTCTCTCAATCAATCCTCCAGCATGAAAAGTATATAGACACAACTTTTCGCGAAGTAGAGGACACTCGGGGGACCTCTCGGTTGTTCTTTTAGTCTTTAGCTACGACTTAACTACTTAGCTTCCTCGCCTTGACGAGGCAGTTACACTAAATGGATATAGTTTTTGTGTCTACCTTTTTGTGATGTGTTTAAACTTTCCTATTTCATTTTGTTGTTGGATTCGCGTAACTTTCGGTCAAAGCATGTGAAGTGTTTGCCCGGTGTCTGCTCTTCTTTCTGTCATAATACAGACTCTTAGGCAAGTAATAAGATAATTAAAAGGAATTGCCTCCTAGACGTAAAATTCACTCACAACATCAATTCAACCCGCAAAATTAGAACGTTTTTTTTTTTTTATTGCTTAGATGTGTGGACGAGCTCACAGCCCACCTGGTGTTAAGTGGTTACTGGAGCCCATAGACATCTAAAACGTTAATGCGCCACCCACCTTGAGATATAAGTTGTAAGGTCTCAGTATAGTTACAAGGGCTGCCCCACCCTTCAAACCGAAACGCATTACTGCTTCACGGCAGATATAGGCAGGGCGGTGGTACCTACCCGCGCGGACTCACAACAGGTCCTACCATCAGTAATAACGTATATCTTAAGATAAGGCGTGCCTTATAAGTTCTATGTCTGTGTACGTATGTACTGTTCACATGAATTGATAAATGAAATTGATGTAGCTTCAACGAAATCCCATTAAAACCGCTACAAAAACCGCTCATAAAACGTACCCACGTACGTGTGGTCGCATTAAAATGCATTTACAGTCCCGTCCGAGAACTGACGCACGATTATTTATTATCCGGCACATTTTATTAGGGTCGCAAATGGGATTGTTTCACTTTCCTCGTCTTAGCGGATTACTGGATGGAGGAAAGGAATTGGGCATATATTTTATAATAGAGAAATGTCTACTTTATAAAAGAGAAGAAAGAACAGGAAGACACATAATTCAACAACTAATTCTGATTTAAAAGGTTCTGCAATGCTAAGTATCTAAACACAGACATTTTTTTTACTATATGCTGTTACCCTCAAAGGGTTATGCCATATAATTACCACGTATCTTATTTCAGTACATTTTCTAAATTTTTTTTTAATTATTGACCTATTGTCAAAAATAAAAGTCTGGTAGTCCTAGAATTAGACTCAAGTTATATGTTTAACTAGATTAAAAAAATATAAAATTTTGTATTCATACACACCGTTATAAAATTCAAGAAGAAATAATAGGCATGAAAATTACAAACAAAACTAAAACTTACAAATAAAATGAGTATTATACACTCATACAAATAAATAATAGACCTAAAGTAGATTATTAATTTTTTAAGAATAAAACAAAAGTTTTGTTCTAAAATCGTGTCTTCTATTAATCGCCTGATAATCAAAGGGAAATCAATAAAATACCAAAACTTCTCCAACCACAGACAAAAATAAAAAGGAAAAGTCATAAATAAAACTATTTATGTATATATCTGTATACATCATGTCATTTTTCTTTAAGTATTTAGAAATCTAGTCATATATAAATAATACATATTCACCGAACTAATGACACGATTGACTAATTATGCAGATTAATTTCCGTGTTGCATCAAAGTAGCTGTTGTAGCCAAACATTGGTCATAAATTCCGAAAGTGACAGAATAATGGGCAGAGGCTTTACCCCGCACAATGCTAATACCATTGCTAACACTGATTTAGCTACCAAATATCAGGCTTTACATGGTTACTTAATTAAACATGTAATAGGGAGTTTCGACTTTTTTTTTGGAACGAAGTTCCTTATGTTAACCGGGTTAACCGGGAAAAAACGTCCGTAACGTAAGATTTTTATTAGTAATGCACACAGTGTATGACTTAACTTTGTAATAATGTACAAATTAGTAATGGACACAGTGTACGACTTAACTTTCTAATAATGTACAAAAAATAACATATTTTTTTTATCAAAAAAAAAGTCATAATAAAAAATATATACCCGAATAATTATTTTCGTTATACCTCGAATAGAACATAAAATTAATATTTTTATAATAAGGAACTTTGTTCCTATCCGGTGTCCCACGGCCACGATACCACGCATTTTTTTTTCTTCGTCTGTTC